CAGCACATGCTTCTGCCAAAACCCTGCAGCAAGGAGGCAGTTTCTGAGCCAGGCTGTATCAGCTCAGGCCCTTCATTCTCTCTCACTTGCTCCTTGCAGGTGCTGCTTCGGGTGAGAGAAAATGAGCTCCAGTACCTGAAGAAAGAGATTCAGTGTCTTCGGGAGGAGCTGCAGATGATGCAGAAGGTATGGTGCCCCTGGAAGTATTCTTCTTCTAGTAGAATTCAAGGCAGGAGGGATGCCAAGACCTTGCTGAAGTGTGAGGCAGGGAGTTTTGGATCTGGGAAAAGCATCTCTTGCTGGGGGGGAATTGTGCAGGGTTGCTTAGTCCTCCTAGATTAACCCTCTGGAGCTCAGTTCTCTGTGTGTGCATATGCCATATACCTGCAGGAAGGGAGCCCTTGCATGTGGGGAAGACCTGGCCAGCTCTGGGTGGGGCTCCAATTCAGCTGTTTTATTTCCCCTCCCTCTATATGCCATCCATCCTGCAGCCAGGCCATGTCACCTGCTTTCTCTCCTGTACCCTTAGTAACTCACCATGAAGGGAGAGTTAGCTCCACTGTATGACCTTTCCCTTTTGCCAGTGCAGCATGGTTATGGGCATCCCTTTCTGTTTCTATTTCTCCATGGCTTGAACCCTCTGGCTTCCATCACTTCTCCCTTTGACTGTTCTACGGTTGAATGGCCCTCGTCCTCAGGGAAACCTTCATGACACCAATGCCTACGTTTCCCATGGCTCCTACTTCTGTCCTCTAGTACACACTCTTCTCCCTCAAGGGGAGGCCCTTTGGGTGCTTCTAGAGAACAGTCTCACTGAGCCAACCTGTTCAGCCTTGAGTAGTTTGATAGATCTCAGTTGTGAATTCCTCCTCCCAGCTGCCTCTTTAACTGGATCTCTGGGGATGCCATTGCTGTACCAGAGCAATGATGTCTCCTCTTGGCAGTCTGAGGCCTCTGCCCAGCTTTCAGACTCCCACTACCTGAACAGGAAGGCAGAGCAGGCCAGGGCTTGGGTTCAGACTGAGGTCTCCATCTCCCTGGCTTTCTTCCTGGGGCATCTGTGCTGCTCCCCTCTCCTTCCCCCTCCCCCATGAATACCAGTGTCTGGATTGTGACTCCTTGCCTTCCACTGCAGGATAAGAGGTTTGCCTCAGGGAAATACCAGGATGTCTACGTGGAGCTGAAACACACCAAGGTGCGCTCAGAGCAGGAAATCAAGCAGCTGAAGGAGCATCTGCGCCTGGCCGTGGCAGCTTTGCAGGAGAAGGAGACACTGTGTAACAGCATTGCTGAATAGAGGTAAAAGACTGGACGTGGAGGGGTCAGGTCTTGCCAGCTTGCACTGGGGAGGAGCATAGGTTATGGGTCAGGAGCACCCAGGGGTTGCTGCAGGGCAGTACTCCACTCATGGTCCCTAGACTGCAGGGGTGTGATGGGTGGGCTTGAAAGGCGGATGCAAGGGAAGCGTTGGCCATCCCTGACTCACCCCCAGTGCCAGGCAGCATTGTGCTGGACTTCACACATTACTACCTGAATGGGGAGAAACTTTATTCCTATCTGTGTGTTTAATCTCTGTGGAAGTAGCTTGAATTAAGCAAAACTCTCTGTCTCTGTTGACCCTGGGCCTCTCCTACTATTAGCATTTACAAGAGGTGAGGTGTAAGGTGGCCCTAGGAAGTGATCAAAAGTGCCCTCTTTTCTTGCTTGCTGGGTCATGTTGTCTTTGAGGCAAGAGCAAACTCTGTTGGGTGTCTTATTCTCACTGGATCTGGTCCAGTGGGAATTTTCCATCTTCATGGTTCCTCTTCCTGCTCATGGCACCACTGGCAGCGCTCAGACCACACAACCCCAGGTGCTGTTGATGCTTATTCATGGGGAGTCTGGGGTTGCAGTACAAGCAGTGTCATTAGCTGGCAGTTTGGCGCATAGTGGCCCTCTCTCCTCAGCTTAGTGAAGTGGCAGCCTTCTGCCTGGTAGAAATAGTGTCTTTAAGTCATTTGTCTTGTTTTTCTTTTTTTTCCCCTCTTCAGGTCTGTTTTACTCTGCTCCTCACTTGTGGGGAAGCGGTGGCTGCATCCCATCCATTCACACAACCTTCCCAGAACCCATCTCCTCATGCCTTCCAACGAACCCCTGTCCCGTGCGCCTGCGTAACTGAGCACGCCATTTGGACTGGCTCCAACATGCACCTTCTTCAGGATTTTATATGTGAAAAGATATTTTATAGAGATTTTTTTTTTGTGGGGTCTTTTTTTTTTTGGAAGGGAAGGGGAGCATTTTAAGCTACTATATCTTTTAGCCAGCAGCTGAAGACAGACTTCGTATTTCCTGCTGCCCCTTCTGGCCACGAGTGCACACAGGCTCTGAAGTGGCTGTCTTGTACCACTCTCCTTCTTCAAACGTCTGTGTGAGCCAACTTGGATGTGCTAGAATGACCGTGGCCCACAGCAGCCTGCGCAAGAGACAAACTAGCCATAGCAGGGCAAGCAATGGCTCCATCCACCCTGGGCACATCCATGGGGAGATAGTGGTGAGAGTCCATGTGACCAAGTCTAGCGGTGACTATCCTCCAACTCAGAGTACTGCACTAAAGGCAGGTTCCTGCATGAGTAGGCCAGCTGTCTGTCTCACTGTGAGGCTGGTGCCTACCGCAGTGTGGGACAAGCCTGCCTTCTGCCTGCACGCCCCTGGGGAGTAGTGGAGACTTTTCATGAGCCGCTGCTGCCTCTGCCAGAGCCAAACAACAAAGGCAGCTGCTGCTCTGCTGCACAGTTCATAGTTTAACTTAATAAAAATATTCCAATATTGCAGAGGGATCTTGTATGACTGTTGCATTGGCCTCAGAGTCACTGATGGTGTCAAGTCAGGCTTGTCCTTTACACAGCATCTTTGAACCTTCATGTTGGAGGATGGCTCCTTGCTTTATCGAATCAGCAGTGTCCAGCAAGGGCTGCCAGTTGTGCCTAGAGACTTCGATATAAGAACTGCTGTCCTGGGTCAAACCAAAGGTCTGTCCAAACCTGTATATCCTGTCTCTAATAGTGGCCAGTAGCAGATGCTTTCTAGAGCAGGGGCATCAACATAAGGCCTGTGGGCCAGCTCTGGCCCCTGGAGGTGTCATGTAACTTGTAAGGCTTCTCAGTGACTGAACCACTTTGTTCCATGGATTTGGCCTACAGGGTTTGTTGCCATAGCTTCAGTATTAATCACTGCTACTTTTGTGTGGCTTCAGAAACCAGGGAGTTAATTCCACTTACCTTTCCCTCTTGGGGTTTGTAGGTGCCCCTGGCAGGGAGATTTGGGGGACAAGCAGCAACATCATTCACTCCCTGGGTTCTGGAGATGTGCCAAAACAGTGGCTCTGGCAGCAGTGGGGACTTATGCCACCGCCATTCATGTGTTGTCCAGTTTGAAGGGCCCAATGAACCTTCAGTTAGACACCCCTGTTTCAGAGAGAGCATCACAAACAGTTTGCCTAAAGTGTTTCATCAACTGTCAGACTCCCCCAGTCTCCAGCAATGGGTTACATCCTTGACTTATGGTTAATAGCCCCTGATGGATCTAGTCTCTGGTCAGTTGTCTAATCCCCTTTTGAACCTTGTTAGGCTTTTAGCTTCCACAACATCCCGTGGCAGTGAAGCTCTGCATATTCATGATGCGCTGTGCTTTAAAAGGAAAAAAAGGACTACTTTTTGGTTTGTTTTAAACCTGCTGCCTGGTAATTTCACTCCTCCCCATAGTTCTTTTATTATAGTAGATGTAATGAATAATACTGCCCTATTCCCTTTTTCCAGACCATGATTTTTATAGCTCTGTCATATTCCACTCAGTGAAATTTTTTCCAAGCTGAAAACTCCTAGTCTTTTCTGTCTCTCTCTATATAGCAGCTGTTCCATAGCCCTGATCAGTTTGTTGACATTCTCTGTATCTATTCTAGTTCTGTTGCATCCTTGTTGAAATGGAGTGACCAGAAATGCACACAGCATTCAAGATGGGGTGCTTCATGGAATTATATTTTCATAGATTTCATAGACATTCAGGCTGGAAGGGACCCCAGAGGATCATTGAGTCCAGCCCCCTGCCCCCAGGGGCAGGAAGTCAGCAGGGATCATAGGATCCCAGCAAGATAAGCATCCAAATGTGTCTTGAAGGTGTTCAAAGTGGATGTTTGAACCACCTCCCATGGCAGTCTATTCCAAACCTTGGGGGCTCAGACAGTAAAGAAGTTCTTCCTTATGTCCAGCTTGAATCAGTCGGGGGAGTTTGTAACTGTTAGATCTTGTCATCCCTTGGGGAACTCTGGTGAACAGATGTTCCCCCAGATACTTTGTTTCCTCCTTTGATTCCTAACATTTTATTTGTCTTTTTAACCACTACTCTACACTGATCTAAAAACAGTCCACAATGATTCCAGGATCTCTCCTGAATGGTAATGGTTAATTTGGAGCCCATCATGAGTGTGTGAACTTTTTCCAACATACATTACTTTACACTTCTCAGCGCTCATTTTCCTCTGTTGTTCCTGCCCTCTTAGTCAGTTCTATGAGAGATCCCTGTAACGTCACCACCACCACCAGCTTTGGATTTGATTACCCAAAATCATTTGATATCATCTGCAAATATCACTGTTTACTCCTGTTTCCCTTTCTAGTATATGTCGATCTGGCATGTGGTGACTTGATTGCAAGCCTTCTGCAAGTGCTGGGGAGGGGGGTGGTGTGTGTGTGTGTGTGTGTGTGTGTGTGTGG